TCTGCACGTTAAATGTTCCGAGCTGGTTCGAGCCGAATTTGATTTAGTTTTTTTTTATACAGTTCTTTACTGATGCGAATAAAAATATGTAATATATAAAATAATACGCAGACAAATCCTTTATATAATCGAACATTTTTATTACAATAATGACTGTGATATATTACAGTAATGTTACTGTGATGCGTTTTCGCGGACATTGTAATATTACTGTAATATTTCAGTAATATTACAGTAATATTTCTGCTACACACTTCATTGTAATATTGCAATGGAAATTATTGTGATATTATTGTAATATTACGTGCTATGTGGGGTGATTTCATCCTTTCGATCCTACGTCTCGTGGATACGAGAGTGTAAAGTCTTCCTTACTGACCTGTCGTGGATTTGCGACTGATCAGTTATTAAAGAGCCTCACGACAGCTACACCGAAATTGTAAATATAAACCGTACTCGTCATATAGCCTCAGCGTGCCTCTCACTACACTCAGCCACGTGCCACGACTTCACGAGGCAAGTTAAATACCGAATATATCGAAAGCGAAGACATTATCGAGCCGAAATCAGTTATCATTACGAACAACAATACCCAACGTTTGTAAAAAGTCTCCGCGAGCGAGACACAAGCAAAGATATCATATTATACTTTATATCTGACACGGTAAAATAAAAGACTAAGAATTGGATGAAAGCAAAAACTGGCTATTTTCTAAAACTTGCTTCCGCCCCCCGACTCTTGGAACACCGGCGAACATAATTCGGTCACAACCAACCGTTTCAAAACTAGTTTTAAATACAGTATTACATATCTTGCTAATAGCTTCTGATATTGCATTTGTTTTATCTCACAATGACTGTCAATAGCCGTTGATTGCGTTTTATGTGCGGTAAATATTAATCGCCGTTCTAATTATCTCTTTATAGATTACATTATGAGCCCCCATCGAAACGGGTGTACCGCTTATGAAGAGGCGTACAGAAAATCGCTGGAGTCTCCGGAAGAATTCTGGAGTGAGGTCGGACTGCATGTTGATTGGAGTAAACCTTGGCTAAAAGTGCTAGATAACTCCAACGAACCATTCACAAAATGGTAAGTAAAAAATCACTGTTACAGATGTTCATACGTAAATCAAACAAATTCAATTTAGTCTTAAGGTAAATATCCCGGACATGTACCTAATTCCGAACACTCTTATTATTTTGAATATTTCTTTAAATATTTCATCTTTCAACGTACACTAAATATAAATATTAAATGTATGTATATCAATATGTATGTATTGTATATTGAAAGTTGAAATATTCATATTCAAATATAAAAATAATAACAATGTTTGGAGATTTTGGTACCTGTCCGAGCATTGGTACATTTACCTTACACTATGACATAAAAGAATATAGAGTAGTTTATAATTAAAGTGTTAACATTTGACATTATGAGTATTATACTTATATCCTAACCCAGTCAACATAGAGCATTTTAGTTTCATTACATTTATATTAAAATTTTACACTCAACAATATAAATGTAATATAACACTATGTTTTACATTGCATTTATATTGTTGAATGCGAAATTAAAATTTTACACTCAACAATATAAATGTAATATAACACTATGTTTTACATTGCATTTATATTGTTGAATGCGAAATTAAAATTTTACACTCAACAATATAAATGTAATATAACACTATGTTTTACATTGCATTTATATTGTTGAATGCGAAATTAAAATTTTACACTCAACAATATAAATGTAATATAACACTATGTTTTACATTGCATTTATATTGTTGAATGCGAAATTTTAATATAAATATAATGAAACTAATGCTATGTGTCGACTGAGAGTCAACATATTGCTATATGTTTACTATATAAGAATTATGAATTTCAGCATCACATATTATATAATGTAAAAGTTGTTACAATGTTGTGTATTTACAATTTCGCCTTTTAAAAAATAATGATATACACATGTGAAATCTCATAATTTATAATGTGCACAAGCATGTTATGTTATAAATATAATAATTATATATTTATAATATATATTATATATTATAAATATATATTATATTATTTTCATAACAGTTAATATATTATAGATAAATATTTAAAACAACAGTTGATATGCAATGGATATTCATTAAATTCAACAGAAAAAGCAATTTAATAAAGCACTTTAAACTATACTGTCGACAGTTTTGCAATTGTAAGATTTTCTATTGAACTTAACGGTTTATACTTTCCCAACATATTTATTAAGTACTCGCCAGTTTTTTCAGCATATTTTTAATACGCTAGGCCGCTTACTAAACATATTAAAAAGGCATAAAACGCTAAATGTACATGGAAAAAAAAGATGTGGTGCACCTAACAAAAAATATTTAGTTGTAAGCAAATAGCTGCATCATTCTACATATCTTTGTATGATAGTTATGTTGATAGTATGTAGATAGTTATGTAGATAGTATGATAGTTATGTTGATAGTATGGTTGATTTGACTTACTTACTTTGGTATGTCAACTACATCAATGAAGTTATGCGTAATCTGGTTGTGGTAATCAGAAATTAATAAGTGAAATTAGTAAGGGTCATTTTGCATAGATAAGCTAGATATCGATATAGTTGCATTAATCAATGCTATATTGCAAAGCAGCGATGTTAGAAAACAAAATCAATTCACTACGCGCACAGCTAGAAATGTATATATATGAAAACTGGTTCTGAGTGTATAAATATACATTTGTAGTTGCCGCATAATAAGCCGCATTTGTATTAACCATGTATTATCACTACTGCAACATAAGTAACTCAGCCATTGCTCTTTGGTTATAGCAATCATAAATAATTGTTCCGTATTTTACTATTGAATCTGGTTGGCACAACCAGATTTGGTATGGATCAACTATATTGTTTTTTCTGTGTAGTTCATTAAAAAATCTGACAAAGTTGCTAGCAGCGTAAAGTACTTATTAAGCTGCTTTTTCTGCTGAACGCAACTATTGATATAATGTAAAAATATATAGTTTTAATGAAACAAAACAAAATGAAACAAATAAAAATATTAAATTTAAAGAGAGACTATTTCCTCTGCGCAAGTTTTGTGCAGCATGTTTTCATTTTTAACAAAATATATGGTTTTACTTTTTAAGTTATATGCAACTAAATATGCAACTTATCAGCAACTGAACATATTAACTGAGCAATTATGTGCGAAAAGATATTAAAATTATCAAACTCTAATAACTATTATAAGTTGTATAAGTTGTTTATTTGTTGTATAAGTTCTTATTTCCAAATTATAAAACAGCAACAGCATGTTTCTTGGGGAAAAGCGCAAAAAGACTATAAAGTTGCAAAGTGTCTTGTTTGTAAACAAGTTCTCCGATTGTCTGAAGAATCATCTCGATTACGAAGGGCAAACGATGGAACAATCGGGACACCAATCTTACAGAAAAAACGTTTTCCTTTTTATTTTCTTTTTTTTTATGCAGGTTTGTCGGTGGAGAATTGAACGCTTGTTATAACGCGGTGGACCGGCACGTGTGTGCCGGCAACGGAAATAAGACAGCCCTCATACACGACAGCCCACAAACTTCGTCAATACGCAAAGTAACGTACAATGAGCTCCTCGAAAAGACGTCTTTGTTGGCGGGCGCGTTGGCAGAACTGGGCGTACGCAAGGGGGACAAAGTGATCATCTACATGCCGTTAATCCCCGAGACAATAATTGCGATTTTAGCCACCACCAGATTAGGAGCGGTCCATTCAATAGTCTTTGGAGGTAATAACGATACGATGTCAGTATCTACGAGATGAATTATTAACACGTTAATCTCCACGCCATCCAATCTGGGTGAAGCTTGAGTTCCCTCAGCCTTCCCTCACCTATTTATGAGTGACGATTTTATTCGTCTGATTAGAAATGATTAAGAATATTTTTATTAGGAAATCAGCAGTAATTTAACTTTATTTAACAGAACATCGAACAAAAAACAACAAAATATTATTAACACAACGCATCGAGGATTTGGGTCTGACGGAACTAATATATAAATTTAAAAGGGTAGTTAACGTATTTAATTGGAAATGCTCGAAACTCTCTCTTTAAACTTTCTTTATTTTTTAGAGATAGAGACGATTCTTTTAGATATCTCTTGGGAACGTATTATTTCGATTGATCAGGTCGATACAATATCATTATAGTTTCGTATTTCAGGTTTTGCAGCGAACGAACTGGCGTCTAGGATAAATCATGCCGAGCCAAAGGTCATTATCGCCGCAAGTTGCGGCTTGGAACCGTCCAAAGTGATTAAGTACGTCTCATTGTATTTTAATAAGTATCGCCGGAATTAATACAAATGTTGTCTTTGTTGTAATGTATTATATATGACATTCAAGAGCCTCCCTCAATACGTAATACCAAGACGTACGTAATATAATGCGTCTGCGTTTATTTATGTATTCCTTTATACGTAACTCGGTTCGCATGCATCAGTCATATAATATTCAAATAAATATCGACAAGGTGCAAAAGCATTCAACGGACATGAAAAAAATGAGATATTAATTTATTCTTATATAACTATGAGATCTCTCTATAGATCTGTCACTACTGTAATCGCTGTCTATCATGTTTAATAATAATATAACGTACGCTTTTATCTTTAACTTTGTGAATTACGTCGTTGCATTTAAAAGTCGCACGAAAAACTACGCGCAATTTCTCAATTTAAGTATCAGTGCGTAAAAATATAAAAGAAGGATTATCCGATTTTTAGACGATATTCAAAATAAATCAGTTTTCTTCACTTTTACCTTTAAAATTTATTATCATTATTGCTGAGGCTACACTAAACATTAACACTTTTAGAAATATATATTTTCACATACATACACAGGATATATATTTACATATTTTTCTTTAACTTGCTTGTTTCGGAATATACAGGTACACTTCTATGCTGAATAGTGCCTTGGATATGATCACTGTAGCGAGGCCAAAGTGTATTATATTCCAAAGAAAAAACGTGTGGGAATCACCGTTGTACGAGTCGCAATTCGATTGGGATGAACTCATGAAAAGGTCAAAACGTCATCCATGCGTAATGGTCGAGGCTAACGATCCATTGTATATACTGTACACGTCAGGAACTACAGGTAAACTTTTCCCGGCCCGGTAAAAACCACTAACAGAAAGAATTTTGCTCACCGGTCAAATCACAATTTTCCTTAGTAATGATGAGTAACATCATTAGATCAGTAGAATCATTAGATAGAATTCTTGCTAATCACTATTTCATTTCATTTCCAATTTTATATGAAACGTTGGTTATTACACGCAAAGTTAATTCAGATTACGAGGTAAAATATCGCACAGAAATTTTCGTTTTCCGTTAATATTTATATCTTTATAAAATAAAACTTCTTAAAATGATATATGATTTCTTGCGAAATCTTTTCCAAACGCCTCTGTTACAAAAATAAAAAAATTGCGAAAATGATATTTGCATATCAGGACAACCGAAGGGGATCATAAGACCGATCGGAGGACACCTCGCGACGCTTTGTTGGACCATGAGTACAGTTTACGGAATGAATAAAAATTCCGTATGGTGGGTGGCATCTGACATGGGTTGGGTTGTTGGGCATTCGTACATTTGTTATGGTCCTCTCTTGTTCGGCGCGACGAGCGTGATGTACGAAGGAAAACCCGATAGGACACCGGACGCAGGTCAATATTTCAGGTTGGAGAATCGTTTTGTATGAAAAAAAAAAAAAAAAACAAGAGTGTGTAGTATATATATATTTTTTTTAATTTTGTGAATGACTTCATCTTCATACGTATAATACAAGCCAAATAGACTTTGTATCGATAACTCTTGAGCGAGTTCTTCCTTTTCGCTAGAATCATCGAGCAGCACAGCGTAAATGCGTTATTCTGCGTGCCTACTGCACTGCGAGTTATAAAACGAGCGGATCCGGAAACTCTACTGGGGAGGAAGTATTCGTTGAAATCGTAAGTTTCAAATCGATGCATTAACTTGGTTACTTCAAATTACAAACAACTCTAATATATGGTGAAAAGATATTTTCATATTCCGCGTGATGCAAAAACGTAATTAAATATATATATATATATATATATATATATATATATATATATATATATTGTCATCGCTTATTTTATTTCCTCCTTTGATAAAAAAAAACTGAAAAAGTATATATATATATATAATTTTTAAAATATTTTTTATCAATCATACTCTTGGGCCCATATGTGCATCCACTGAATTACTATTACATATTTTAGTGTTTTAATGTAAAACACTACAATGCATATCGTTACACCATTCACGTCTAATTCTAAAATCAGCTTTTTTTAGAAAATTAAGTGCACGATTTTATTGGTGGTGTGTAGTGACGCCGCAGAAAATACGAAACGAGAAACCGGAGAGAAAAGAGGATTAATAATTTAAGGGCGGTCGTCATGAAGGTGGTGATCTTATCACATTGCAATGAGTATCATAAATTACGCGTGACACAAGTCACATACCGCGATGTGCATATCGTGATGTGCATCACGATGCGCTTCCGTCTTCCTATCTCTTTCGAAGAGAAACTACACCACCGATAGAATATGCATGGAAAATCTCGGATCTATTGCTTATCGATACATGAAAAACAAACTGTAAAGTGCGACAATTTCGCGTTATAACGATTAATTATACAATGATATTAGGAACGACTTTGATACATGTACATATTAGACAATTCTTTATAATTCTATAAGCAGTTTATTAAAAAGACGCATATATATATTTATAAGAATATTTTTCGGGTCAGAGAACGCGCTCACAAAGCTTTCACAAAGCTCTCACAAAGCTTTCCTGAGTTACTCCAAAAGTAATTATTCCTCGTAAAGCTGTTCTCTAAAACGAAAATTTCACGAGCAATTTTTCTCCTCCTGCTTCCAGCTTAAAAACGATATTTGTGGCCGGCGAGTTTTGCGACTACGAGACTAAGGCTTGGGCCGAGAATGCTTTTAAAGTGCCAATTTTAAATAATTGGTGGCAGTCGGAGACTGGACACCCCATTACGGCGCTATGCCTAGGATACGGTCATCATCCTAGTTTGCCAAAGTTCAGCACCGGGTTTCCCATACCTGGATATAATAGTGAGTCTTCGATCGTCTCGTCCTTCGAGAATATTTTCATAATTGCTCATTGACCTGTTCTGTTTAACAATGTTAATTCGCTCTGTTTATTTACGCACGAATCTCTGCTATTTATTTATAAATCACAAGTTTGTCAATCTGCACAGTTCATGTCTTACGCGAAGATGGAAGTATAGCGCCACAACGCGAACTCGGGCGAATTGCGATAAAGTTACCGCTACCGCCTGGATTTATGTCAACTTTATACCTGGCATCCGAGAGGTTCAAGAAAGTATACTTCTCGAGGTTTCCGGTGAGTAATTTAACACGAGACACATAATTATTATGCGGGTAACTTCATACAAGAAGAGCGATCTCCTATTAGCTACGAGTTTCTCGACATATTTTAAAGTCAATTCTATCGAAAACAGGCGACCTCCCCTCCCCCTTTTTTCTTCTTTACTATTTTATTATTAATTAAGACTTAATTAAATTGGATTCTCAAATTGAAGTAAAATTTAATTGGTACATTGAACACTGAGATTCTATTATTCTCAGTAACGACTCCAAAACTGAAAAGTCGTAAAAAGTCATTGATTTTCGATTGTTTATAATTAAAGACTAGATGCCACGGTTTCCTCATCAAGTAGAAATTGACTGCGAATTCGTCAAGAAGTTTATAGTCCAAGTTGCGGGACATATTATCGTTTTTTGTTGTTTTTGCAATTTTTACACGATTTTTACTCTCCTAGGGCTACTACGACACCATGGACGCGGGTTACATCGACGAGTTGGGTCATGTTTACGTGACAGCGAGAGATGACGACATTATAAATGTGGCAGGACATAGAATATCCACAGCCGCGATAGAAGATATTATTCTAACTCACGTCGACGTAGTGGATGCTGCAGTGATCGGGGTGCCAGATCACACGAAGGGAGAAATACCGCTGTGCCTTTACGTTAAGCGCTGTGGTTCGTTAATCCCTGTCTCTCTTTCGCCGTACACTTTCTCTCGAAATAAGTGAATAACGACAGTATCCAATTGCAGTAATTCTTGTTCCATAAGAACCTTTTTTTCAAGGAAAACGATAAATAATTTTTCATGAATTATTAAGAGCTAATAAGCTGATTATTAGTGGGAACATGATACATAATTACGAATATGTATTATTAATAACGATAAAAATATTTCTACATTAGACTCTCATTTGTAAGTTAAAGTACGCTTTATTATAAATTATTTCGTACGAAAATGCATTTAAAGAAAAAAGCAACACGAAATACTCGACCTAATACTTTTTATATGACAGAATCACGGTTTTTTCAATGTTAACGAAAATGCCCACTTCCGTCTTTAAAAAAAAATTCTATTATTTTGGACTAAAAAAGAGTTTTTCGAGAATTTTCAAGCTTTACAAAATAAAATTAATAATAAAATCACATATATTTTCCAATTAATTTCAAATAGATTTTACTATAACAGAATCTAAACTTAAAGCTTGACTCGAATTATAATTATAAAAATTTATAATATCGAGAATTGAAGAGTCATGATAAATAATGACTAAGATGGTGTTACTGTTACTATACTAACGACAATGTTACATCAAAATATTTTACAGATTCGATTAGCAATGAAGAAGAGATAAATCAAGAACTGGTGACACAAGTGAGACACATGATGGGGCCAATCGCGTCTTTTCGAGTCGCCGCTGCGATTACCGCGTTACCGAAAACGCGTTCCGGAAAGATAGCTCGCAAATCTATCGCTTTGTTGGCGCGGTCAAAACAAGTCAAGGTAGGAAATAAGTATGACGAGGATATCATGACATTTCTGGATTGCGTTAGTACGGTCAACATGTAATAATAAAAAAATATATAGTAGAATAACATCAAAGATCTTACCTTATTTTAAACATATTCTTTGTGTTATCCTGCTACTAATAAACATCGATAACAATGCGTTTTTTTAATGATTTCAGATTTCAAGTACGATTGAAGATCCAACAGTATTTCGCGAAATTAAAGAAGTACTCCAGAAACTTGGATACGCGAAACTGGCCCCGGATCCACAATGACAATACTTTATGAAACTTGTACAAAATACCGCTTTTAAAATATTTACGACAAACATTCCAGAAATAAATTGATGCAAGTTTAGTTGTACAATATGTCGATATGTAACTTATACTGGTTAAAAGAATTATTTTTATGTCATAAAAAAGTTTTTTTACAAACTCAAGATAAAACAAAATTCAAAAAACTCGAATAGTTTTGCAAAAAATATAAATGTCAAATTTTGTTTCTATTAAACATTTCTCTTCATTCTATCTTTGCCTTTTATCAGCCGCTATAACGAAAAGAAAAGCTAAAATATGTATAGCACATTTTTATCATCGATATATCTAACTTTGATGTAGATAATGAGAAAATATATTATTATTTACATAGAAATATACAAAAATACAAACGGATGTTACTACTTATTCGTGCATATTTATAATCTCATGTGCTATACTCCATTTATTTAATTGGCTCGAATAATCTGGATGTACGAAATCCGTCATATTGTCAAAGTGTAGACGGCATACATCCACAACTCTATTAAAAATTATGAGGGCACATTTTTTTGCAAATTTGTTTTTAATGACAATATAATAAGAAACAGTATAATAATAATCGTAATATTAATTTTATAATTATAAAGTGTGTGTATAACACTATCTTGTTGATTTATTCAATAAATTTCTTTTCCAACTCTTACCACCACTTTAATAATAATTATATTTAATAATAATTATAATAATTACTCATATTTTTCTTTAATGTTAATTCGCGGTCGATATCAATCTCCTACTGTACTTCCACTTATGTGTCGCACCTCAGAAGAATAAAAATATCGTGTTTTTTTTTATTATCAAGGAGACACGGTTAATATTTGATCATTATTCATTTATAATTATTCCAATGCAAGTGTCATCATTCAGCTTATCTAGTAAAAGGAACACACGCTCTTGAGTTTCGATTGTGTATGTCTCCTTATCTATATAATCGAATCTATTTGCTTTTATATCAGGCGCTATAAATATTTTTTTCCCTTTCCCCCCTCCCCAAATCCCTTGCCCGCTGTGTTATACGCGGCGCGCGTATTGTAGCTCTGCGTAGGTGAATTGTGTGTGTATGTTACATTACTAATTCGCCGGAATTTTATCATGCCCATTTGGTTTGCTTAATAATCGTGTGCTCGCCTTGCATCGTAATTTATTCGTCACATTGAAATAATGATCATTTTTTTTCTCATTATGGATCCGTCATAACACTTAAGCAAAATCCTTACTCGACGACCTTCAGCACCTTGCCAATTGCGATAGTCTTATCTGAAATTGTATATATATATGAATTATATATAATTCTATCGTAACACGCAACTAAAAAATGAGTCGAAGTGATAAGAGAAATAAAAAAAAAAATGTTCGTTCTTACTTTCATCCCTAAGAGTGAAGCGGCCCATTTGCGGGAATAACTTGAATCTTTCGAGGCATATTACACCGGCACATTCGATTCTCATTATAGCCACCTGATCTTGTTTGACGAACCTCGGCCTCGTTTTACTTTTATCGCCTGTTTTTTTGTCCACCAGACAAATCAATGCTTTCACTGTGACTTCCTCTGCAGCGCAATGAATATGCATGACTGCGCTATATCCCGCGCAAATAATACTTTTATGCTCCAGTATCACAACTTGCGCGTCAAAGACTTTTCCAGTCTTGATAGGATTGTTGCTGTCGCAAAGGACAAATCCAGGACTCACGTCCTCCTCCTCGATTCCCTTCAGCTTGATTTTCACATTTTCACCTGGTCCGACTGATGTCACTTCCTCATCATCCGACCATAGCTGGTCTACTGTTACTGCCGTCTATAGAAATGCAACAAAATATATTCTCGTAAATGTGTGTCATTCTTTATTTTATTCTTACAAAATATGGATTTATCCAAAAAGTATCTGACTACGTAATATCTATCTGTTTACAATAAAAGACTGTCTGCACTAAATTTGAATATGCAAACTATGAATATGCAAGACGCTTTGTATGTCAACTTTCACAAAAAAAGTAGAGGGATTTTGATGAAATACGGCGAATGCTTTCGTTCATTGTATACAATTTGAACGCAAGATGAATTAGTTCGTGACTGTAAGAAATATACATACCCTATTCGGCATAACGAGCAACGACTGTCCCTTTTTGGCTTCTCCCGCTTCGACCTTGCCCATAACTACTGTCCCCATATCTTTATATTTGTCAACAATCGGCATGATGAAAGGCCCATTGCTCTTACGATTGAGCGAGGGTAGCGAATCGATAAATGGTATAAATGGCGGGCCGCTATACCAATTACAAAGATGTTCGGGTATCGGATCCTTAAGGCCAATACCGAGCTGACCAGAGACTGGCATGAACGTAAGATCTTTTGCAGGATTGAACCCTAATTTACGAAGATATGGCAGTATCTTATCCCTGAAAATGCAATAACACTGTTATTCGCATGAATCGAAAAACGCGTGTACATGTACTAAATAGCAAGAATATTTCTCTTAACTATACTACACAGAAAAAAATATATATAGAAAAATATTGAGATAAATTCAAGTGAATATTACTTGTTTCAAATATTTCGTAAGTTTATATATCCATAAATTCATATCAAAAGTTTATCATAAATATCAAATTTATTTCAAATACATTTTAAATTCTAGTAAGTTTAGCATTTCAATTAAGAACATTAAATTAAAATGGAAATTTGATTTGCTTTTGAACAAATTGAAGAAACTTCTTTCAAGTATATCATAATGAGTTTTTTTAAGATTGTAACGAATATATTTTAAGATTATTATTAAGAGAAAACATCGTTTGTTGAAAATAATTATCTTAAAGAAAAGTATAATATATAAGTAATCACTATTTTTAGTAGCAAAATATTTTTCTTTTTGTGTATATATGTTACATTCTCTGTACTCAAAATAATGTCAGAATCAGAATCAGAAATAATGTCAGAGTCAGAATAGAATAAGATAAGCTATATATATACAAACTGCTTGTTATCCAAAAGATAAAAAGATTATGATTATCCAAAGTTAATTAATAAAGCAATAAACTCAAAAGTACGAATAAAACCGCGAACAGTTCTTAACAAGTGTTTAAAATTTATAATAATCTTTATTGAAATATAAGGTTTTAAAAATAAAGTTATTAAGATCCATTAACCGTTTATTTTTATCATTTACTGTTATCATTTACTTTTATCATATCCTGTTTTTCTAAAAATTTGTCCGTGCGAGTTTATATATAATATTTTGAAGAAATAAAAGCAGTAACGTAAAGAGAAATATAGAGAGAACTGAAATAAAAGGGAAATTTAAGAGTTTTTGTTGCATAGTATTCCGTGCATACCTGCATTCATTGTATCGTCCTTCATCCCATTCGACAGTAGGGTCATCCATCTTATTCACTAACACAACCAGATGTTTGACGCCTGCAGTTTTGGCAAGCATAGCGTGTTCTCTCGTTTGACCCCCTCTGTCAAAGCCGGTTTCAAATTCGCCTTTTCTTGCAGAAATAACGAGGACTGCTAGATCGGCTTGCGCCGCACCGCCGATCATATTGGGTACAAAGCTTTTATGGCCGGGAGCGTCTAATATTGTAAAATGCTTTCGTTCTGTCTCGAAGTATGCTCTACCTACTTCCACTGTTTTGCCCTTCTCTCTTTCTTCCTGATTTGTATCCAGCGCCCAACTTAAGTACCATGTTTCTCGACTTCTCTCCTTCGCCTCCCGTTCGTATTTCTCTAAAGTGCGTTTGTCGACCATCCCCGTAAGCGCCATAATTTGGCCTCCGATAGTTGATTTTCCAGCATCTACAATCACCACATATAATATTATTTAATAATCAAGTATAGTGCATACATATATATATATATATGTGTGTGTGTGTGTGTGTGTGTACATACACACACATCATCCATACAAATAGCGTAAGTTAAAAAGTTGATTACATTTTATGTTGCAATCGTTAAAATAACAGTAAATGACTGATAATATAATATATCTCTCAAATGTTTTTATTTTAAAGATAAGCTACATATTCTCCCTATTCAAATTTATTACCTACCCACATGGCCTATGAAAACAACATTAACATGTTCCTTTTTGCTTTTAGTATCTTCCGCTACTTTGACAGGTTTCTTTTTAGGTACTTTAACAACCAGTTCCTCGTCTTCTTCATTATCAGCCTAAAAATATTACATACAGATAAAAAAATTAGTATAAGCCATAATTAGTATAAGCCATAGTAGTGATAAATAATTATTATAAATTATAATTAATTAATAAAAATTCTATTCGTACTTTATAAACCAAAATAAATGAGATCCTCTTCAAAAGAATGGATGTAGCTGAAAGAATCTTTTTATCAGAAAATTCTATATATTATCATCTGTGATGCAAATATGTGCTACTGTGAGTATTAAAACTACACATGATAAATTTATCCTTACTTCTTCATTCTCAGGAGTGAGTAAAGGATCACCATCCACCGCTGCCTCTTCCCAAGAATCTGCAGGCTGATGTTCTGGGCTGGTATTTAGTTGGTCATTAACATTCGGAGGTGGTGCCCCTCCTCCAGCAGGAGGTTCCTCAACTCGACTGCCAATTGGATCTGATAGAACAACAGGAGTAGAATTTCCTGTGAATATGAAAGAAAACATATGTTCACTACCTCATGGTATATATACCTTATATAATTTACAGAAAGATAAAGAGTTACGAACAATATCAAATATTATATTTTCTTATAGTTGTGTAAAACTGTTTTGGCAAGCTAAACTCTACAATATCCAAAATATACAATACAATATGTTCACGTTACCAAAAATCTATCGCATGTACATCTGTTCTCATAAAACTTCTACATTTTGTTTCCTGCTGTTACGATTCCAATCGAAGAATTGGAATTCTTTATTCACATGCAGTAACAAAATCGTATAGGTAGTAAACAGAGTCAACAGAAAGGAGAAGTTATGATTCAACAGAAGTTTCCAACAAGGAATGTTACAATATACAAGTCAAACCATATGGTATTCAGATAAGATACTTAGATATATATTTAATCAAGGACACTCTACAAAATTAGTTCCCATTGAAACACAACAAAAATATATGAAACCAATTAGATCCTCCTCCAGCATATTCTGAGAGAAATAGGGATGACACTAGCGATAAGGGGGTTAGTTGCGGAAGAGGTAGAACCACAACAATGGTAATTCCGCGAGCGCGGCAATTCGCCCTCGGCATGGGTGTGCAGTAGCCACCGTATGGAACATTGTCGGAAATCGTGATTCAGCTGACAGGCTAACCATGATGTATCTCGGCAGGCATGGAGGTGGTGGTTACGGTATTCATCACGGCGGCGGCGACATTGCAGGTGCTGTCGGTCGCCGTCGCGGTGTTGTTCTGCGGCGACGAATTGATGCAGAAGGAAGGCACGAATTCCGCGGCGTTCACGTTGAGAGTGGAGAATTTGCTCTCGATTGACGTGGACTTGTTGTCCTGCGCTGACGGCGGCGGTCCCGCGACGATATCGCCGTTGTTGTCCGCCTGCTGTTCCCACGAGTCCGGTGCTATGCTGTTCGCCATATTATAATCGGATTTGTGTTTCGGCACGCACGATAGCCGGCCGCGGCTGAGTAAATTAATATATTCCTCGGTTGTAACACGCGCTACGGGACACGTCGCAACACACGCTGCGCGCTGATCCTGGCACCGGGGAGAACCGAGCTCGGGACGGGTTTAAAAAAATAGTTATTTGTCGCACACCGCGTACACTTCGCGTACACGCGCGTATCCGCTACTCCGCGTGCGTGCGTGCGTCCCCCGTGGTCTGCTGCTGCTGATACTGCTGCTGCTGCTGCCTCGCTGTTGCCGCACTCAACACCGGAACTACTGAGATCAAAACATCGACTGTTCATGAACTGCGCGAGATTCGAACACGAGTGTCGCAGAGGGAGAACGAAATCTACGAACGTATTTGACACGTATTCACCCACGATAAACAACGACGACGACGATGAGAAGTTTTAAATTCAATACTAGTGGCAAAATCCATCGTTGCAAAATTCATGGCATTCGCAACAAAAAATTTCCAACATTACTAATGTGGATACACCAGCGAGATAAGAGAACAAGGATCTGTTTTCTATTGCTGAATTGGTTGCATTAGTTCTCTCTTATCTTTCTTCCACCAAATCTTATCTGTGTATCTGTCTCTTCTTAAATTCCGAAAGTGTACGCTAGTTCAGCAATAGAAAACAAACCCCAAAGATTACCAGCCTTACAAAATTTACATAAACGAAAATTTTTCCTATTTTATAATCTGTTCAGTAAATTTTATATCAAATCAGCATAGATAATAATACATATATAATATACATTTATCGTGAATATGCATTTACATACTTGTAAGACGTGATAGTTATAAATGTAAAATTGATTGTTTATTAAATGCGTGCAGATATTATTTCAGATTGAAAATAGTCGATAATATCATTGTTCTTCAATTGCCTTCAGGCCCACCAAGTCCATATTTCATTAAAATTTGCTTAGGACTGGCGATCTTTACTCTTATCTCATCAGTGACATATGTGAAGCTCTGTCAAGTTGGTAATACAGGTTAGCTTTTTTCTTATGCACTTTCTTGGGGTGGGACCCGATTGACCACGGTACGATTGGACACAGATTATAATGATTGGTTCGATTCTGGTAATTCACTAGATAATTCTTTGCATCGGTTGGTTGTGTCTAGAGAATTCTAGTACAGAGAATCGCCAACTTGGTCATGTGATTAGTTACTCAGCTACTCTGCAATTGGCTGGCATAAACATGTACGGATTTGGACATTGCGACGCCGATGCAAAACCATATATATATATAAGCATTTATTCTGCATTGGCGTCGCAATGTCTAAATCCGTATATATTTATGCCAGCCAATCAGCTGGTCACGTGATCAAGTTGGCTCTGTACTAGAAGTTCTCTAGTTATGTCCAATCGTACCGTGTCAATCGGGACGCTTCCCTTTCTTGCACTTGCTGCATGAATTAATGCACTCATTGATGATTTATAATGGCTCATACGCACAGGACGCGGTAATACTTGCCACGCGGCGGAAGTTCGCGCGACAGCCAATCAATATACTGCTTTCTGTAATAACCTTCTAGCTCTTACGGAAAAACAACATATTGATTGGCTGTCGCGCAGACTTCCGCCGCGCGGCAAACATTACCGTGTCCTGTGTGGGGAGCGGTGCACTTGAACACGGTGCATTTGGACACAGCCAATCACAGCACCGTGTGATTAGAGACATTTGTAGGATCCCTTGGAACACCGACTTGTGATTGGACTGTGTCCAATTGCCCCGTGTCCAACTGATATACACCCTCCTGTGTGCAGGAGCCATTAGGAGGAGTAGCCACCTAATTGGCTACCTAAGAGAAGCCACCTGAAAAGCTACTTTTAAGGGACGTCTACATTGGAAGTAAGAAGTAGAAAGTAAGAATAAGAAATTGACCAATTATAGTTGATTATTCTTCTTACATTCGACTGTGGTTGGTCAATTTCTTACTCTTACTTCCTACTTCTTACTACTTACTTGCAATGTAGACGTCTCTTAAGGCACTTATATCGATAAAAGAAGATTCAGAATATAGGCCAAAATCTTCTGGAGACGTCTCAGAGATGTCCTGAGGACGTAGAACGTTCCCAGGACGTTCTTAGAACGTACTCTGGACGTCTTTTGAACATTTGTGCTGTTAGGAATTTGTGCATGTACTATATAATTTTAGCACCCTTACAAAAAAGATACGAAAAAACCTTCAATTTTGGGTATTAACACTCAAATTTAGATGTTTATTCCCAGTTTTTGGGTGTTTACACCCAAAATTGAGGGTTTTTTCGTAAGGGCATTGACAGCGAATTTCAGAACGCAGCCAAAGAAGTCTATTGCTTATAGCAAATTCGTTTGCTTGCACTAGTGTGCACTGAGTGCGCACTAAGGCTTGTTCATAGTATGTTATTATATTTAAAAATTGTCTTAAATAATTCTCAAATAAATTCTCAAATATTTTTAACCATAATATGATATGTATAACATCCGTACGAATCATTTTATTAGTTAAAATGTTTTTAAATATGTATTTAAGACACGATCTTAAATATAAGAATGTACTGTAAACAAGCCTTAATGCGCACTCAGTGCGCACTAGTGCAAGCTACCGAATTCGCTATTAGTTAACACCGAGAGGACTAAACGCGAACTGACCTATACTGTGACCAATCACAGTTGAATTTTACAAGAATAATCGATTGCGATTAGTCACGGTATAGGTCAGTCCGCGTTTAGATCTCTCGGTGTAAACTAAGCATGTGATTGCACCTTACATTTAAAGGAAGGTCTGAAGCCATAAAGAGAGAGAGAAAGAGAGAGAGAGAGAGAGAGAGAGAGAGATCTTACATTTAAAGAGCTTGTAAACGTTACGAAAGATCACATTTTCCAAGATTGTCATTTTGGAAGAAGGTATCAAGAGGACTGCATTAAACGTAAAAATCATGGATTTATTAGGATCTATCTTGAATTCCATGGATAAACCACCGACGATGAGTGACAAGCAAAAGGCACTCATAAAAAGTTAGTTGAGTAATTTTAATAGGTCTTTAACCTTACTTAGCAATCTACGGTTTGGTAAACAAATGGACGAACGGCTTTGTTAAAGGATCTGAGTATGTTGATTAATTTGAATTCATTTTTATTGCAGAACAGAAGGAGGAATATGAAAAACAAAAGAAGGTCGAGGCGGAAAAATTGAAGATTTTCCGGCGTCAGGTTAAATTTTTACAGTCACATTTTATTATTTCTGCACTCTGTATGTGCCAACTTCGTGTAACGTAATATTGTCTTCCATACATAGGTAGAAGAGAAAATTAATAAATTCCTACAAGATGACAATGCAAAAGAATATAAATTTCCTGCTATGAGCAAAATACATAGAAGCATTATGTAAGTACAAGCATATTATTTTTATGAAATCAGAAGTTATACATATATATGTAAATATTAGACACCCATGAAACATTTTGTGTGACAAAAGTAAATTTTTGTCTTTAGCTATGATGTGGCAGAAGTAGCGAGTATTTTGGCGTACACTTTTGGTGAAGAAGATGTTGATCGATATATCATGATCTTCAAGAGAGAATATGCACCTTCTGAAGATCAATTATATATATTACGTAGAGGTGAAGAGTGGAATGAAGAAGTCGGTAAGAAGTTGAAGGAGGACAGAAAAAGGAAGGCAAAAGAAGCAGCAGAGTATGCAAAGTCTAGGAAAAACAAAGATAAATTTGTACCTAATAGTTACTACAAAGATAAATATCAACATTTGATTGGCAAAGAGGCTGCATTGGAAGCTGCCAGAAAAACAGAAGCCAATAGCAGTTATGGGTTTGGTAAGTGTAATTGGATATATAAAACCTAAATATGAGATTCACCTGAAAATTACTCAAAAATTTTTATCATATATCAGTAGTATCAATGATATATTCTATACTTAAAATTTTGAAATAATTCATCCCATGCATGTTCTACTGAGACATATTGTCATGAGAATTCTTTCTAGTTCCTAGTGAAAATAAGAAGGACCAGAGGAGTATAGAACAAACCTTGGCTGACATACGTGCCAAGAGGAGGAAATTGGAAGCAAATAACCAAACGAGCAGTTCCAGCGACAACAGTACAAAATAGTGCTATTGTATAAATAATCTCATAGGCGTACACATGAATTACCTATGTGCAATTCATTGTAAATATCTATTAGGTATATTACAACGTTATTACAGACTGTATTACTCGCACTGTTAGAGCAACGCCGTATTTGTTCGTTCAAGTATTCTACAAAGATACGTCCTAGAAAAGTTCTACAATGGTGTTACGACTAATGTATACCTGCATTAGACGTGAGACGGATTGCTTTCTGTTCCATCTCAATATGATATTGTGTATTTGCTACACCAAAGCGACTCTGTCATATATGTACAATATAATACATTCTCACACATACATAAACGTTTGTCTCTGCGACAGTTCTATCGTTAAATGTATAGCAGCTTGACGTCTTTATTCCAGTTAAAGATACTCCGTGGTGGAATATTTAGGAACTGAGGTTCTCGGAGCGGGCCTTGGTTTCGTTGGCGACGGAGACTCGAATACGATCTGCTCTTTCAAGGCGAGCAGCTTCGTAAATTTCTGATTTGTCGTGGATTTGTACAGTTCCAGGCCCCGGACGATGATAACGTCTCGCACGTAGACTGCATTATTTTGTACTAATTTTCGCTGAAATATCGAACCATATAGGTGTGAAATGTATTCATAAACCATTATTAAAGTCTGTGTAATGATGTGCGTTACCTCTTGCTTTAATTTTGGATCTGTAAGCGAGACAATCAAATGTTGAACCTCGACTCGCATCACAGATACAAGCACGTTATCTATCGCGGACATAAGCTCAGGCGTGGCTACGCTAAGGCAGTCTTCTAACAGGCTGATGTAGATCTTGGAGAAGCTTAATGTATTGTGAGTCAGTGGTATCCAACAGTCGTTCGTCGAGTATGACGATGGTATACCGATACCGAGATCATCGAGTTCCGATAAAAGCTTTTGAAGATTTTGACTAGTTTCCAGATTCGTCGGTCGCCATGTGTCTTCCGCCACGTGGAGTTTCACTGTGCCGACGCAGTTTTCACCTGCATCTTGAATGGCTTTGGCTAATGGGGACCTGAGTTGGCCATCCAATTGATAACGAAAGTCCATGCCGAGTTGGGTTAACTGGCAGATAAAAAATAAAATATGAGATTAACGGAACGTCAACTCACGCAGATTCGTCATTAATTTTACCCAGGTGCATAGGAATCCAAAATATAAGATTATTATAATATATAATTTATAAATTTAGAGTTCTCTTTCACATATTTGATTATATATAATTATGTTCGCTCTCTTTCTTTAAATTCAATTGAACTTATATTTTTGTATGTATGGAATAAATATCTGAATAAAATAATATAATATTAAATCTGTAATATATATATATATATATGTGTGTGTGTGTGTGTGTGTGTGTGTGTGTGTGTGTGTGTGTGTGTGTATAAAGGCACAGAAAATTCTATTTTCATGAGTAATAAGATTGCTTACATTCTTATCCTTTGGAACGTATAAATTTTTAGTGCATATACCTGATCGCAATGAGTCCGAACGGTGACAATACACTCTACTAATGTACTGAGTGTAACTTGTGGCATAAAAAGTTGCTTGGCTAAGTGCGACGTCAAGTGTTTCACTTCTTGACTACACCATACGACTAAACCTGAACAAGGAACGAGTAGAATTATAAATTAATTATTTTATCGTAAGCATCTCTTATGATTTTGTCAACTGATTGAGTTATTACCTGAAGTGCAATTCGTAGATTGGGGAAAAGTTTTCAAGAATTCTCTCGCTATTTCCACTATGTTGCTAAAGGCGATTGCGCTGATCTGTTTCACATAAGCGACGGTCGTGCCTTCCCTCTTAATTCTCTTTAGGCGCGCCTTTAGCACCGCGCTGCACAATCGTAGGTACAAGTGACACGCTTGTGCGCTCCTGTTCAGCTGTATCAGCAGCTTGACTGCGCGCCGTGCGCTTCTTAAACCGCCGCCTTGTAACGACTTGGCTTCCGCACTTGATTCCAATTCCTTGGTCAACACGTTGACCAGCGAAGAACCCCTCTCGTTCACTTTCGTTTGAATTTCCGTCAGCAATAGCGTCGACTGAGCGTCCTTCAGATATGTTTTCGCCTTCTCCAACAAGCTATAAGCTTCCTCGAAGTGACGCTGCGCTATACAAGAGTCCAGATCCTCGGCTACTTCCAGCACCCATTCCGGCGGCGGCTCGTGATATTCCGAGTCGTCGTCGTCCTCCATGCCTAATGATAAACGATCAACGAAATGATTATGAGAAGGTTCTATAAGCCAAATATGCCTGAAAATCTGAAACGCGTTTAAGAAGTGTAAAAAATTAAATTCTCAGCACATATAATCACTCACCAATCTTCTCTAATTAATAACTCCAAATTTTACATGGTTGTTTGCAAAATCGTAGAGTAATTTTGTGTTCAATTTGACTTATCTACACGTACACAAGATCCACTTACAGTTAGACATTCTGTATAAGTGTGAAACATTTTGAATTACATCAAATTCTTGCAAATCTTACCTAATGTATTCGAATCCAGGGACATCGAACGAGACGGCGCTATTTTCTCTTCCTTCACGTGCTTACTTTCATCTGGAGCGTCAGTCGAATTTTCCCCAGCTAGTTTTGCTCTCTTCGCCTGCTCGCACTTATCCAACCACTCCTTCTGCAAAAACAAATCGATTCAAATAATACAGCCTCACGTTGAGTATTTCATGTTAATGTTCGCATTCGAACGTACTAACTTTACTCGTCGCTGTGGCGCATTGAAACACTCTCGTGTCGGAGAACGCCAGAAGCTTGAATGCTAGCTTCACGGTGCCATGATCCCTCACGTTGACGATCGCAAGACTCTCAAGATTATAAACGGCCTGCATTTTGTATCTAGGTGGACCGCGTCTGCCACCGTTTGCTAACCAAGACGCGACCATCAGAACGTCGTTGAATAAATACGCATGGATCCTCTTAAGCGGTGTTCCCTCGATTGGGTCTAATTCGAGTAGGGAACCTTCGTGCAGACACACACGTCCTGGCGTTTCTGCTAAGCTCTGTAAGAAGAAAGGCGTAATTAGAATAAGTGAGCTCTTCCAGAAACTATTTAAAATGATAATATGGGCTGTAAGACTTTCTTCTGCCAACCACATATATACAATTTAGAGCACATGTACAGTTTAGAATTATATATGTAATTTATAGCATATGTGCAATTTAGAATTGGATGTGTAATTTAGAACCTGCATATGATTTAGAAAGACATAAATTATTCCTGTACATCAGAATGTATATTTTACATATTGAATACAATGACCAACCAAAGCGCCTTCCACATTTTCAATCAATTGGATCAGTTTCTGCTTCTGTTCCTCTTCTTTAGACACAGTGTCATTAGAGTTCTCTTGCTGTGACTCAGACAGATCCTCAAAGACAACACCAGCTGTTCTGGTAGAGCCCAGAGTACTCAGCAAGGCACGTTGTTCACTCAACAGCTGAGACAGTTGATACATCTCGCTCTCCAAATGCGAGATCTCCTTGGCAGTCTCGATAAACTGCATGTAGTTCTGATAGACATTTCGCTTTAATTGAGCAGAAGTGCTGTTTGCTAGTTCCTGAATTTTGGCGCGTTGTTGCCTCAACTCGTCTGCACCGACGCACTGCGCGCTGAGTTCCTTTACAACTGCAAGTGAAAAGGAAATTGTGGAAATGTGAGACAGTATAGAGCTAATGGGTTGGACTGAAGATGATATAATAGACTCAGAATATTTCTGCAAGTATATCACGATTAAAAACAAAATACAATCGGCTGATGCTACCACACGACCGGGTATCTCATTGTTAAATCGTCCGATTATGCGTGGCGATTAATGGCAAGTATGTGCGTACAGTGACTCACATTTTTCCGGGTTAAAGTCCTCGGCTGCGAAAACTTTTGCTAAGTTATCAGTCATCGTGAAGGATCGTCGATCGCACGAGAACGCTTTATTATTATTGACAACACGATTTACGTGCCTTTGTCATGTTACGTTTCGCCCGTCGAGTCTCTTTGTGGCACTTGTCACAGGTAAATTGACATGGTTTACACCTCCACCCTGATTTAACCTCACTTCGTACTTACTACAGACTAGTCCGAAGATAGGACTGACATGTAAGGTCTGTTCTTTTTTGTTAAGCAAATGTACTCTTACTGAACTTCAAGAGAAACAGACATATATCTGAGACTTAGTGGGGAAAAGAGAAGAAGAGGACTAGTGCAAGTTAGTGGCAGGGAGTGCAACTAAAAAGAACAGGCAGTAAGAGGTGGGCGATGTTCGATCGATAACTCGATATTCGATATTCGATTCATTGCTCGATAAAGAATCGATAATCTTTTCGAAATTTTGAAATTGTTTTTCATGTTGGTAGTTTTATATATTGATAATTTGATGCTAATAAAAATTATTATTAATCTTTACTGAATATATAGAGAGTGTGTGTATATTTTGAGTTATTTTGAAATCTGAGTTACTTGAATTTTTATTTTTCAACAGTATGTGATTTACTGTCAAGTCAGAAGATTTCTAATTTCTTGTTTGCAAATAGAGACAAAGATTTATTTGACTTACTGTTCGGTCGTACTGTTGAAAAATATTCGACTAATTTATCGTGTAGTCGTAATATTTGAAAATAGAAAGACCGTTCCTATACAGCACCAAATATCTGAAATACATCCCAGAGACGTTCCAGAGACAATGTGATATATCTGGGATGTCTCTGGAATGTATTTCGGACATTTGGACTGTATGAGATTTATTTAGGTCCGATTCCACCAACGTCGATTGGGCTTTGATCTGAGTTTAAGTCTTTGTTTCAAATAGTTTAAACAAATAGTTTAAGGCTTAATCGACATTGATGAAATCGGGCTTTAATTGTTGAATTGCAATATGATTTTGATTTGTAGCAGGAGTGGCGACAACTTATGGTAAAAGTTTTATAATTAATTAAAATAAATAAGTACCGTCAGACAGCCTTTTAACATTTAAAGTAATTATATATATATATATATATATATATATATATATATATATATATATATATATAAAACTAGTCCGAATTTTAATAATTGTACTCCCAAGTAGTACGAAAATCCAACGAAAAGTCAGACAAACGAGTGTTAAATTATTTAAGTTATTTAGTTGTAAACTATAAGTAATAAACAAATTGAAGAGTTTCTTAAGCGTTAATAGATAATGAAACCTATAACATTTCATCGTGACTGTCATTTTCATACACCAGCGTTTTATCTGCCGTTGTCTCGTTCACTCGTCGTTTTTATCCGCAACCTTCACGCAGAATTCAGTACGAGTGACATCTATGCCGAGCAAATATCATTGCATCACCAGTCACATCATTTACGCGAATGACAGGATCGTAGTGTGCACGAAACGACAACATAGCTTGGTGGAAGATGTACAGTCGTAGTAGGACGTTGATTGCATTGGCGTTATTTCTGATATTATTTTGCGACAGCACGTCGTCGGAATGTATGCAACTGGGGCCTTGTACCTGCTTTCTACCGGACGGCAATTATTACGATTTGACCAGTCTCGCTGACAAAGAGTTGGTGGTTTTTTTAGAACAATTAACCTCCGTTATCACTTTCCATTTGCATGCCGTAAACATCCTTGAATGCTAATTATTTTGTATCTGAAAAGTGCGAGGATATAAGTAAAAGTTTCCTGTTTGTTAAGGGAGAGACTAAAGAAGAAAGAAAAATTTGGTTAGGTTGAGTTTTTGTATGCAAAATAAGCTTGCGGCTTTGTTCTTAAAAAATATCGTGCACGATATTTCTATGAAAAACTATAGTTTAAGTTACTACAACTTTTCATCGAAATATCGTATTAAATATTGCGATATTTTTTAAAAATATAGCCCCTTTGTTCTTTTTCGAAGGACAATCTGAATTAAAGTAAAACAAGTATATTTTATTTCACTCTAACCTGTGAATTATACCAACATGATTATACATTTTGGACTTGTTTTCTTTAACTTCTCAATTACATTATTGCCTTTATATTCAAAATATTTCTTCTTTACCTATATTCTTTATCTATATTATATCATTAAATATTGATTCCATTTTCCAGGACACTTTCCAATACCAAGTCTAATTTGACAGTATATTTCCACCCATGTAAGGATGTGGTAATTCCCATTAAAGAGAATCAAAATAATACATGTTCCAGTGGGAAAAAAGTTTCGGTAAGCATTTCGATATACTATCATCAATTAATTTATAGAGACTATATTGTTTGATTATTTATTTATCATATGTATAATTTGTATCATATAACTTATATAACACTGCTGTTAAAACTAATCTTTAATTTTTTAACATTGTAATTCTAGTTATTAATATTTTTATAGTTTCACATTGAATAAACACCTATTAATAATAATTAATACCTATTAATAACAAAATTTTATTTTTATTATCTTGCCAAAATTTCATTCAAGCTCATAGCATAATTTAAGAGTTATATTTTTTAAGAATTACACATTAGCTATTGTTGCATTAAGCAGGAGGTGAATGAAGTAAATCAGATGAATGAAAAAATTTGTTTTACAGCTTTGTATGTACAATGAAACCACAAATACAACCATAAATTTTGGGACAGTTCACGATACTCAAATGAAGTTACCAAAGGGCAATAATAAATTTCCAGTGTTTGAAATACATCGCGGTAATATTACATCGATCATAAATATTATATGTGCCACTGACAGCACTGACATAGATTTCATATTAGATAATATTTCTCAGGATACCGGAAAGTATGTGAGTATACGGATGAGCCGTAATAAATGATGTTTCCACGGAAATATCAGAAGCTGTTTGTGTTAGCTCACATCTTGATAGAGCATATAAGCGAATCATCAAAATATTTGTAGCATTTTAGGTTGGTGTCGCCGTACGGATGTAGAAAGGAACAAGACTACAACAGAGGCTTGTCTACCGGCTCCGTTCTAGTCATCTTATTCTTCACTTTCGCTGGAATATATCTCGTTGGCGGCGCTATAGTGTTGAAAACATTGAGAGGGGCAACTGGTTGGGAAATGCTGCCAAATCATACTTTCTGGTGCGAGCTTCCCTCGTTGGTCAGAGTAAGTGAATACTATGATAATTTTGGGACTATAGAAAATACTATTTCACTTCAAAATGATCTTATTTTTTGCAATATGTCGATTCAGAGTTATCATTCGGATTATCTGCAAATATTTTGCACAGTTCTAATGCCATCCTGATGACATGCGACGATTACTGTGCGCTGTATCATTTAGTCGAGAGAATTATCTTTCTGTCGTTTTGCAGGACGGCATCGTTTTCACCTTCAATTGTTGTCGGGCGAACAGTTACGAGAGAATATAAAATCTTCATCGTCATTTAATGTTTATTAAATGCACGATCTTGTTAAAATTTAGTACGTTATAAGTAGTGGACGTTTGTACCCTAAGTAATTTTTCTATTCTCGTTCTTGTATTGTCACATTGTTTTTTCTTATAGTTATACTACGGTTTATGATAAGTATTCTTCTGTAAAGCAAGACATTAATTCGTTAAATTGCCCGCAGTCAGTTTACTGATTGACCATCAATTTTCCGTATTGATAGCTCTTGCTTTCTTAGTTTCTTTTTTTTTTTGTTAGCACAATTAAGAAGCACGATATTATGTATATTACACGAAATTACATGTGTATTGTAATAATGTGATATTCTATTGCGCTATGTCACGTGCCAATGTTATGTTTTTAAGTCTTTAGGGATATATAAAGAGAAATTTCAATTTGATTATGCAAATTAATGCTTGAATATTTCGCTATCGTTGCAAATTGAATACTCTGAAAACATGACTGCACACCAAAGAGCTATTCTTTCAGACACCATGTTTGTCGACTGGTAAGAAAGCGACAGTGAAAGCGATCACTAACAATTACAAATCGATGTAACCGATACATGTATTATCATGTTTGTAAGATTATACCCGGACATTGGAAGAGCCCCGACGCTGGAATCGGCCATTTTCACGGATGTACTCTATTTTTCGAGGACCTACAAATATTATATTTTTTATAACTTTTTAACCAACGTATTAGTATTTATGAGGCGAGATCGACTCTTTCTACGATTAGAGTAGTTGCTGTTCCCTTTTGTACAGAAGAGACGCTTTATTTGTAGACACGAGCGCTTATCGCGGGCTTTTCCGATGTCGACAGCGTAAATTGAACTGGAACCGGTGATTTGATAATGTGATGTTTTATTAACAAACTCTAATAATAATACAAAAATATAAATAACTATACGCGGACATGTTACATATAATATATACCCTTTTTTATACATTTTTCTATCTCTACGTGCGTGCGTACATGCGTGAGAGTATAAGTTTAGTAATATTTCGTACAGTAGGCGTATCTTCGCGTGTAATCAAACGAGAATATTTCACGGACTATTTTCATAGTCTTCGTCCTATGAGAAGAAAAAAATACTTATCGTTCATCTACGTAGTAGCAATATTTTCATTTCGCCATTTCTAATCCGTCCGCTTTAGTCGGGTAATAAATAATAATTTTACGAATGTGAGAAGAGATTTACATAATTAAAAAAAAAGGCGCGTTGATAGAGGAATATAAGAGCTCGTCGCGCGTTCCTAGCAATCGAGCAATACTGGATTCATCAGTGTCTCTGCATTCTTCCTGCCTTTGCGAGAATCGCTTATTATCGATCCTTTCCTCTACAATCTCTCTCACTTTCTCACTCTTTCACTCAGAAGTTCTCTCTCTCTCTCTCTCTCTCTCTCTCTCTCTCTCTCTCTCTCTCTCTGCCATTCTCTCAAGGATAACGCTCAAAAGCTGTCGATTCCGTCCACTGGAATCGACACTTCCTGGCCAGTCTGGATGATCAGCCAACTGCCGTTGGCATTCAAGTTATGGATGTTGATGCCCTTCGACGAGAAGACGTTCACAATGTTGGCGAGATCCTGCACCCTGTTTGCGCGATATAGGCAAATATGATCCCTGAGCGCGATGCCATTCACGAAGACAGCATCGTCCAAAGCCAACAGCAGCAATTCGTTGTCGCGCACGGTTCCTGCAACGTACAGAAGGGGTAATATTTCTAATGTTCCTGGATTGAACACACGAACTTACGTCTGCGATCCAAGTATGTTATTTTGGTTGAATCTTCTTTTATAGTTTCTTAGCGTTTTAAGTCGCGTCACTTAACTCGTAACGAACGTATTAAAATTATAATAATATGTATTAAATGTGTCAAATGACGTGATTTAAAACCGTAAGAAACGTGTAAAACAGCCAAATTCAGCCAAATTACACGCTTATGCGTTCAGAAATAACGCACTTGAAGTCGCAGTGTCGCGTCGGAGGGACCCTTCAAGCCCGTTGTTAGGACGTTACCTTTGATGATATGCTGTCCAACTTTCACGACGACCGCTCTATTGTCGTCTTCGACGTGGCTCTCGTGCAACTCCACGCCGATTTCCTGCGCCAGGGTCGGCGCGTTAACTAGATTCAGACCGTTCTTCGTTTGACCAGTTAATATGCCGACCAACACGGCCGTGTGTATGAATCGCTTGTCTTGCATGCCACTGCCTACAGTCTGGCTGTGCACGGTTGTGTTGAGTTTGCCCTTAAGGAAGCGACCGGCCAGTCGACCCAGTTTCTTCGACAATTCTATCCACGGCCCGTTTTCGTTTGTCATGGCAGCGGTTAAGACCGGAGCGTTTACGATACCGGTGACGGCATACTCGGTCGATTTGCCGGACAAAGCAAGGAATTGTTGGGCGATCTCTACCGCCACCCGTTGCTGGGCCTCCGCCGTGCTGGCGCCTGTGATCAAGCCGATTGTTAGTAATGACATACTATCTCGGCGATTAAAATGAAAATTGATAAATATTTTATAGGGAGAGACGTTGGAGGGACATTGAGAAGACGTCTGAAGGTTAGTATATTCTCCGACAACATAATGTCTAAAATCGGGACATAAGATCTTTAAAATGTTTTTCAGACGATTTATGTATAAATGTCTTTAAGGTGTCTTAAAGATTATCTTTAACGTCTTATGTCCCGATTTTAGACATTATGTTGTCTGGGATTAGAATGTCTCTTGTATGTTTGTCCGAGTATAAATTATCTATCGATTAAAATATACGTAGAGAAATCATTTTTTCACTGGTAATTTAGCTATTCAATCGTCGAATTGTCATACGACCTAAGAATTGATCGGATTTTAATTATACATTAACCGAGATTAATTAAAATCACTTTTACAATATTTTTAATCACGTACCGAGATGAGGGGTCGGGATAACTTTCGGATGTTTGATAAGCTCTAAAGTAATCGGATTTTTCGGCGGCTCTTCTATGAAGACATCCAGAGCAGCTCCGCCGCAATGACCAGATTTGAGCGAATTCAAGAGAGCTTCTTCATCGACAATGCCGCCACGTGCGACATTAATAATGTTAACTCCTTTCTTGCACTTCGCCAGAGTCGTCGCGTTGATTAAATCTGTGAACAGATGTGGCTCCGATTAGTCATTGCGCGACGTACAATTTGTTTATGAGAAAATTCCGATTCTTGATTTAAAATTCAACGACTTTAAAAATAATATTGATAAAAATATAATAAATGAAATATTATTTATAAAATACTCATTTTTTAAATATTATTAATATTTGAGGTCTGTAATACTAGTAATTATTTTATTGAACCACTCTCTCTCTCTCTCTCTCGTACTTTTGGTTTGAGGTATAAGCGGCGTATGGACGGTGATGTAGTCGGCCACAGGCCATATTTCCTCCAGGCTGAGCTTCTTGATGCCGAGCTCAGCGGCGGCTTCGGCACTCACTATGGGATCGAAGGCGACGATGTTCATGCCGAAGGCTTGCATCCTGCGGGCCACCTCGCGGCCTATGCGACCCATTCCAAGTACCCCGAGGGTCTTGCCGGATAATTCATAGCCAGAATACAGCTTCCGATCCCATCGACCCTCCTTTAGTGACTGCGCCGCTTGAGCCACGTTACGTGCTAACGCGGATATCAAAGCGCACGTTAGCTCGCAGGCACTGATACTGTTGCCACCAGGTGTGCTGAAATTGAAGTAAGTAATGCGATTATGCACGACTGGCGGTCTTTCGATCGATCAGGATAATCGGGATAATCGACATCCACCCACCGTCTCTCGCGTTTGTACGTATTGCGGATGTCCATTAGGCCCTTGTGTCGAGGTCATCTCTTTAATTATCAAGGTAATCTAAGTTCGATTAGTTAAATAAGTAATTGTTATATCAGCTGATTTGCTAAACAATTATTTTATTTCTTGACGAGGATCCCCACAATTTGTGGGATAAATTTGGAATGCGGTATTTTTTTTGCGGGAACATTGAACATGTTATACGTACTTCAACACGATGATTCCTTTACGCGTGGCAGCTTGGAGGTCAATGTTGTCGACTCCGGTGCCGGCGCGTCCGATCACGCGAATATTCGGACAAGCGGCAATAACGTCCGCCGTCACTTTCGTTTCGGAGCGGACGATAAGCGCATCGTGCTTCTGTTGGACAGAATGTTAAATATTCATTAAATATTCGGAAAAACATAATTAACATACAAAGAAGGAGCTAAGAAATTTCATTTTCAGTACAATCATGAAATTGGACTAATATAAATCTAAGAGATGAGAAACAACGAAAAACGATACGAGGCAAAAATATCGATAAAGCATATAACAGAGATCCCGTTCGGTGATATCGTAATTTATTCGACAAATCTATGCCTGCGGAAAGTAGAAGGCCGAAATTGCGTTGGTCTCCCTCACGGGTTTGCAACGAAACGTGCATTTAAGTTAACGTTGAAGTTTGATGTTGAAGAAGGCAAGAGCGAAGGTAAGAGATAAGGAATTAAGGAACGGCGAGTGTGAGTAGAACAAGCAATCTTAATGTGGTTTATTGAGAAATACGAGAGTAGAGAAGGGATACACAGCAAGTCTCCTTGTACGGGCGCCCATGTGTGCCGGCGCAAACCGGTGGTACAATGACCCGTTGCGAGCGAACCGGTATTCGTGCCGGCCGACTCAACTGGATATAACCGGATCGCCGGCTCGAATGCGGGCAATTAAGAAAAGAAAGATTAAACGGCGAAAGAGACCGAGATAGATCAAGTCGCAACAGCGACCGAGAGAGAGAGAGAGAGGGAAGGAGAGAGAGCACGCGGAGGGAGGGTAGCGAGGGAGGGAACGGAAAAGAGAGCAAGACGCGCGTCCCACATGTCACTCGCATATATTTATTACGCTCGTAACGCTGCATTAGACCGGGAATGTCTAATGGCTCGAGATGGATTGACGCATAATGCAGAATTTGCCCGATCCCGGGAAACGAGAAGCATTTCACGCGGTTATTTACACGAAATAAATCGATCCCCAAAGTGTCCTCAGGCTCTAACGAGGATCTCTTCACGTTCGGTGCTGACAAGCTAATCGACCGTGGAGAGAAATTACGGCGCGTCGCTGTGCATTACGATCCGTCAATCGTTTCTTCTATCTTGAGGGACTTCTATGTCGCTTGTGGGAAATTTTCGAGAGATAGGAAAGTCAACTAAATTATTCTCTGTGGTACGAGGAGAAAAAGGAAGGTGAAAACACTCGATTTTCTGAAATGGCCGACAATGAAATTTGCTAATGTCAAGTACAATTATTACTGTGTAAATCGTACGTTACTTTGTAATTTCGTAGATGGACTGTGAAACTATTCAGGAGCGCTATTCTTTGCGCGACTAAAGAAAAATGTCATGTATCTGATTGTTAGAATAATTATTTAGAAACGGGAGAGGAAGAGATAGAAGAAAATATGTCTCGTCCAATTTAAACTGATATTATTACTTCGCAATTTCGTAAGTACACTGTGAAACAATTCAAAGGCGTCGTTATTTGTATGATTAATAAAAGATGTCACGTATCTGATTGTTAGAATAATTATTTAGAAAGGGGAGAGGAAGGGATAAAGGAAAATATGTCTCGTCCAATTTAATCTGATATTGTTACTTCGTAATCTCGTAGATGCACTGTGAAACAATTCAAGGGCATCATTATTTGCACGACTAAAGAAAGATATCACGTATCTGATTGTTAGAATAATTATTTAGAAACGGGAAAAGAAAGGATAGAGGAAAATATGTTTCGTCCAATTTAATCTATCAGGCGCGACGCGATTGCGCCTCGTTTCCTCGGGTTGAAGTCCACTGTTTATCGTCCCGTTCCCGAAATCGGTGAATATTGAGTTTTATACAATGCAAATATTATACGTTATGAATGCACTAGAAGAAAATAAAAGCTCCGTCTGATCCACGTTGAATAGCCTTTCAATTATTATGATTCCTCAGTCATTGAAGCAATACAGAAATATCGTCTGTCACGTCAATGATCTGAGGAATCAACGACTACTGCTTGCGAATTAAGATTAATATCGCAAATTCGAAGAAATATTGATAAATGAATGTTACTAAACTGATATATCCAGGATTGAGAGGATTTGCATTTTCAATTTATAGTATTACTTCCAAAGGTGTAGAATTCAGCGCGAATTACAGAATTAAATTTTGAATTTAAAATACAAAATTGTAAACCGATATGTGTGAAAAAGTTGAAGTGAAGTAAAAAATGGTCTTTTATTTCTTTTCACCTTTACATTTTGAAAATCGATTTTAATGTTTAGCAGAGCTTCTGTCACGAGAAGAAGCAATTTTAGTCCCTACTCCGCAGATCACTCCGTTCTTTAAGCCAATACTCGATGGCGAGTATCAAAGGGAATTCATAATTTCGCAAAACACGTTTCTATCGGTCGCTTTTTGGTTTGTTTATTTCTTGCGCGACGGAGCGCGAATTATTGATCGCCACTACACGCGCGCAAAGTTTTGCAAAAAAAAATAATGTGCGCACCTGTAGCTCGTTGATCAGCTCATCCTTCGGCAGTCTGTATTTTGTCGTAACCGGAATGCCGTGCTCGGCTAGCAGCGCGCCACAAGACTCGTCCACGGGATCGCTGATGAGAACGCTTCTCAGGTTGACCGACATGTTGTCCTTGAACAAAAGAAGCCCTTGAATAGTGGTTATCTGAGCAAAGGGGAATCGCTATTCGTGATCCGATATCTATAATTCAACCGGTCGTCTGGTCGGGTGTTTGCGCGGTTGTCTGTAGCTGGTCGTCGGTTATCATATTTTTGCGAAATTTTATACTGTGCAGTTATATATTAATCTGCACGGCGTGTAAAAAGTCGCAAGTAAAAAATTTACTATTTTGCACGTATTTATATTCAGGACAATACAACACTATCTTTTCACGAGGAGCGGCAATTTTGTGCAAAGAAAATGACGAAATTTCGCGACAATCATACGTTTATTCATACAGAATTTATTTAACATTGTAGAATTAGAGTTTGCGTCGTTTAGATTGCTTAATTTATACACACATATATATTGTATCACGCATACGTGAGCACTTTCTAATCGTTCCGTGACGGAAATTTGCGATCGGCCGATCGAAATCTTCAACCGTAACGGCCCGCGGTTGTGACAAGCGATAAGCATCATGAATATATTCCCTTGCTCATCGAAATCACATTGACGTCCCATCGTCCCCGTATCATCAGATAGAAATATCGATATCGATAAACAACGACATCGGCAAATAACGTCGTTGACGATTGAACGTTTTGTCAGTCTAATTATAATTGTAATTGATCGGTTTGCGTACAGTATCAGATGAAATGAGCCAAGTAAGCTCTTCCAGTATATTTTAATTAGAAAGATATTTTTGAGAATTCTTATAGGCTTCTCGTGGAAATTTCTACTGAGCTCTAATCGTCTTCCTCGAAAGAAATATCTGGAAGATGGCAAACAAGCAGTCTGTTGATGTATCACTTTCGTTTACTTTGTGATTCTGATCATCATCAATATTATCTAGAATCAATAGAGAGTTGCTCAAGATATTACGTAAACCGTTCCAGTGGAATAACATTCTATTAGGCTCTTTTTTGTCGCAAGTTCGAGGAAGCTTCAGAGAGAAGCTCTTCGGCGTTTGGCTCCTTTGATACTTGAATCGTCAACATTGTGCGCGTCACGTAACAACCATTAGTATGATTAACACATTAATTATTCATATGCGTGGCGAATATTAATGCACCGTGGTATAAGATACCTAGCTTGTTATGGGCGGAAATATACTGCCACATCATGAATACTCGCTACCAGGTAGTTATAATAAGCAGTGTTTGCGACAGTACGGTTGGCATTGTCGATTTATGCATATTAAATCTTTCAGCAGACGCACACGTGCACCCAAGCTGCAATCAATGCTTCGTGTGGGTTCCGATAAGCGCTGATATCCGAGGCTATTCACGCAAGTGAATTTGTTAGTACATCGCATTCATAATCGGTCATTTAAAAATACTTTAAAGGACTTCTTATCTAGAATTGACGCGAAGCACGCGGAACGCGCTAATATTCTGAGATTTTGATCTCAAATTTTCCTTGGGGAGGAAATGTCAGAAAAGCCCACCATTACACGCAACTTTTCCAATTTTCTCGTTCGATATTTTTGTGATAAAATCCGTAGTCAAAAGTTTAATTAGAGATCTGTCGAAGTTCACTTCGAATCTAACGACTAATAGTCTCGTTATCTACTTGTTATCCCTGTCTTATCTATTTTTACTGACTTGCAGTTTTCACATTGTTAGTGATTCGTATTCTCTTCGAAAGTGAAGTTTTGTGAGGGATGCGTTTTTTATCAATTCTGAGAGAATTCGTATTTTCCTTGCTACAGCGACGACATTTATCTCATTCCGGCCACACTATCTCATACACATTGACTTTATGGTTCAGGCACGGATATAACATGGTATGACAACACGTGTGCTGCGGAAATTGTAGAGCTCCGTTAATTAATGTCAAACGATCCATTACGTCACGCGACAGATATATCGAGCTTAATAAAACATCTCTTGAAGAAGCAGTAGCGTAAAATTGCTAATGTCGCAATTTCCGACATGCAAATGCATTCATTTCTGCAGTAAAAACAGAACATCGAGCCAAGTCAGTGAAAATTACATAAGCGGAATATAGGTATGACGAGCGCTTGTATCCCGGCTCGATGAAACGCCGCTGAGGAAATTTTTCTTTTTGGCGCATAAATCGACATATTCCATGCATTCAAATTTATCGTTATATACTCAAAGAAACGCGGATAGCGCGCGAATATTGCCAACTCACCTACATTCGAGAGATTTTATAGACTCGTTGTCGAGCTTGTTTCCTTCTCCTGACATTGAATGCCCGTGATCGACTTACAAGTACATCTACAAGTATCTTTCGGTGGCCTCATTGAATTTTATCATTTTAGAGAAAAACCGCAATTGAATACCGATAAATACAAATACTAGCAACGGTTCAATAAGCACGAATCTCCCTTTCTCTCTTTCTTTCTTTCCGTATTTTTTCGCTCAGAAAATTTGTTTATATAACTGTTTATTGATGTAACTGATATTCAGTTACATCAACTGAATATCAGTTTTCCTTCCATTTTGTTTCTTTTTGTTTTCCTTTCATTTCGGTACACAAAATGTAAAATAAAATTATTTTAGTTGATATTTATTGTTATGGAAATTTAACAGAAAATATTTTGAATTTTACAATGAAAATTTGAAATTTATTTCAGTCGGAGATTATAATCGTGTCGCTTCGGGCGCTTCGTGTGTTATACCGCAATATTGTTTATTATATTATATTTAGCGGCAAATTCTGATTCGTCGGTCAAGATTCCGTTGTTATCGCGCTATACACTGCCAGTAAATCGCCTTATTATAAATTGCCGTCGAGCGTAAGATGCACCTCGGTGCAATGGCGCGCATGTGGCGGCGATAGAAAGCCGGCGGGCAGCAACAAGTGTCAGATTTTGAAGTCGGTGTTGTAACCCTTCGCCGAACGTGACTTGTCCTGATGGGCGAACGGAATTTAAAGGAAAAAAAAAGAATCCAGAACCTACCTTTCCTCGGAAAATTCTCTCTTTCTCTGCGCGGGAAATTCGTTACGACGACGTTGATTCGGCCTTGAATCTTCGGAAACAGACGAGCGATGTTAGGGACCAATGTAGGACTTGGAGTGCTGGTATCGTACGGTGGTCTAGCCGTAAACTGACCCGTTCTACTGTGATTTATCTTCTTATAGCGGAGTCCCCACTCTGGCCATAGGAACGCGATGCCTGGGTGAATTGTGGCGGTGTTGTTCGCGCTGCGGCCGCCGTCCCTCTTCGTCGGCCGTTCGCTCGCCGTTTGAGTGTGTACACTCAGCAAACACATATACGTTCACCTGACGAAGACTAACGTATTTTGAAATGAACACATCGTGACCAGATGATGGCGCCAGTCTAGGTGCAACTGTTCAGGTGTAATCACCTGAGATTATCTAACAATTATCTAATAATTCGAGATCGTGTAATAAGAATACCATTAGATAAAATCTGACGAGAGGCACCATCGGCTGTCCTTCGAAAGTTTCTGCAGAGGTAAAAGCAGGGAAAGAGGAAACGGGAAATTAATCGTGCGACTGCGTGATTATAGAGTGAGGTATTGCTTCTTGAAAATAAACAAACATTTGCAAAAAGAGGAGGAAGAAGAAAAAGAAATCTGCTCGTAATTCAAGCGACGAGTGTCGTGATAGTAACGATGGTTTTGACAAGACAATTTACGTAAGTGTTTTCTGCGTGTATGAACGAAAATATTTCGGAGTTATACGCATGTCATGCATATTTCCTTCGTTATCAGACTTATCGGTCGTTGGCAGCATCGGAAGAACTGATAGAACGGGAGAATACCTGTTTCGATAACGTTACTTTGTAAGTTGAGGACATAAAGAGACATGAAACTTAATTCTGACGATTTTAAATGAATATGCTAATGATTAAGTTTTACGTGATAAAATTTTACGTGTACGAGATAAGAGTACGGAGGTGTGTCTGATTACGAATGAGATTAATAAGTGTTTTTTTAAGGACCTACTAGAATCAATGAATTATAAAGAAACAAGAGATAAAAAGTAGTGAAATGAAATGAAAAATAATGAAGTAACGAGAGGAGTTATAAAAAACAATGGCGCAAAAGTTATCTTAGAGAGAGCTGACTACGTTAGTCCATTAATTCATTCTTAGAATTTTGCTCTTTAATTCACGAGAAAGAAAAAAAGAGTCAAATGAAATACAGTTGGCTACTATATTGAATAGAATTTCACCTATGAGTGATTTTCAAAGCGTTAATTGAAATTTACGGATGACTGTGTCTCTCTTTGACTTTGAGGCTGCAGTCATCCGTAAATTTTAATTAACGCTTTGAAAATCACTCATAGGTGAAATTCTATTCAATATAGTAGCCAACTGTATTTCATTTGACTCTTTTTTTCTTTCTCGTGAATTAAAGAGCAAAATTCTAAAAATGAATTAATGGACTAACGTAGTCAGCTCTCTCTAAGATAACTTTTGCGCCATTGTTTTTTATAACTCCTCTCGTTACTTCATTATTTTTCATTTCATTTCACTACTTTTTATCTCTTGTTTCTTTATATTTCATTGATTCTAGTAGGTCCTTAAAAAAACACTTATTAATCTCATTCGTAATCAGATAAATAAGATAATCAGCCGTATTTCATGATGCTATCTGTGGTGAGATGCTCGTGTCACTCTTAGACTGTTTACTTGATAATTATCGAATTAAATCCTCATATGATCCTGGCAAAAATAGAGGAGAAGATAGTAACATGAGACACGACTGATTCCTTAAAAACAATTGTTACGATCTGACAGTAACTGAAATAAATATGACCTTTATATAATTTTGGAATTTTTATTGGTCACCAAAGAACGTCAATGTCATAATATTAAGAGAAACTACTTTATTTTCTTCTTATTAAAACTTTTCATGAGATAAGATTCAAAAATTGTTTTCCTGTCCTAATTGCGACAAACCTAATATATTAGCTATAGTATATTGATTAATAAAACGACGATGAACACATCGTACAACGATGTTTTGACTGTCGCGAAAATCGTGAACAGATAAACGTGTCCGTAACATAGGATCAATATGCAAGAAAAGTAAATGGTCCTCTGATATCTCGATGTTGTCCACTTGCATTCGAGTGGCCGAAATTTGCCGGCGCGTCACCGTCGAAGACTCGGCGGGAGCCGTCTGATCGCAAACGGACGGAATAGACGATAGGAAATCGCCAGTAATCTGGAATCGTGCAAAAAGACGAAAATCAACGTTTAAGAAGCAAAAGAGAGAGAAAGATAGAGAGAGAGAGAGTGCACGAAGCGAAAAATATATTTTCCACTCGTCGTAGCACGGTCAACAGGGTCAACGGGGTCGTGAAGTGCTGGAGTGACGCAACCGTGCTGCTGGGGGTCCGATTCAGCCATAATAATCGTATAACAGCGCGATATCTCGTGGGCTCTTCATTGCTCGTGCAATCGCTCTCTTTCTCTCACTCTCTCGTTCTGCCGAGGTTTTCCCTGTCGCGGTCGTTCTCTCGCAAACAACTTGACTTCTCTCCGGCCGCTGATAACTCGCGATTGCCACATGTCGCGACCGTGTGTGGACCCCGTGTTAGGAGGCACGAATCGGCTCAAGGAATTTGCATACGTATTAATTGTCGTTATCAGTGATTCCCAGTGAGAATTACAAAACATTCCGAATCGTGCATGAGCGGGCCATGAAAAAATCGTGCGTTTCTCATGCGCGCGATTTTTCAGAAGCGCAATAATTTTAATGAGGAGAGACAAGAAGTTCAAATAAAGTTTTCGAGATGTATATCTTGCTGACGGGAGCGTTCTATTTTTCCAGGATCAGCAGTTTACAAATTCCTCCGGCTACGAGGCACCTTTGAAAGTAAACTTTTGCGAAGTAAACTTTTGCCATGGCAACTTTTAATGTTTATCTTTTCTATTTAATATTTTTATTTGACTTTTACATAAATAATCGCGGTCTATATTCCTCGAGTTTTTGACTCCGCTAGCCATTCGATCAATATTTGTTGTTTTCACCGAAACGCGTTCCTACCAGTGAGTTCTAGGTGGGGGAGTGTTTCGTAATTAAATGCCTGTCGCGCACAAATTAATCAAACATCTCTTGATTCACGAGTTCTCTCGAGCGTATTGTTTTCGTGAGTTGTGGCGCGTCAACTGAAATAAGAGTGGCGCACCACTGCTTTGTGCGTCACTGAGCCGAGATACCAACAGGCGTCATCGAGTGGCGGGTAATCATTTGACTCTGTACCCCCAGCGGACCGAATTATCTCTTATCAACATGGAAAATAACTCCGATCGAGCCGGCTTCTTCGTCTTCGCGGCTCGATAACGGAGTTATCCGCTCTCTGACTACGAAACGTCCACTTTTCCACCCAGTTTCGCGGGTACAATAGAAACACTCTCACTTGATTTCTAATAATATCGTTATCCGACCGGCCGACAACAGAGAAGAGGCCACCAGCCCGTTTTAACCGGATCGAACAACGATTAATCTCGCCTCTCATAATTGCGCCGCCAGAAACTCGACTCGTTCATCAAGTTGCGTTCGAGTTACCGAGGGACTCGCACGATACCGGGATAATAAACGACAAAATCGCGGAAGACACTTTTCGCGGTCGCGCCGCGAGCGATAATTAAACTGTTGATCGTCCAGTACAATCGTCTCTCTCTTTCTCTCTTTTGTTTGGTTTTTATTGTTATTGACACGAGCGGATCGCATGTTAGATAAATAAATCTACATTGCACACGCGCGAAACTCGCAATCTATTTCGATTCGTTAAATCTCGCACGTACACACATATACACACATATTCTTTCGTCGTACCACGATAAAATTTGAAAGGAAAATAAATTGAGCAGGACAAAGCAGAGAGATTGAAATTCCATCTCACGGATTTGTAGAAAATAAGAAAAATACAGAAGTGTGTTCGTTAGCAGAAATATTCGCAGTACAAGTTCAACGGATCCGATTAAAAATTCATTCTAATTAGATTAATCCCAACCAACTATCTGGTTTATACAAGCTGATGTTATTGGATCCTGATTATTAATAAGGTCAATCAATAAATAAAAAAGGTTAAAAGAACTCACGCAAGATGTAGATTGCGAAACACGCTGTATCCGCAAATGTACCAAGAAATGGGACATTGCACGTTTCGATAAATCAGCTAAATTCCGATACTTTTTAAATTACGATATTTACGACAACTTATATTTCAAGAATAGCATAAAAGTGAGAGATGTCATTACCATTTGATTTTTTTAATCTATATTTGATTGTGCATTTGACAGACTGATAATTTATTCGGTATTAATAAAAGGTCCTAATTATTAATAATACTTATTTATATATAAAATAGAACGTTTGTCTCTATATACAAAATAGAATGTTTCCTATATTAACTTTCAAATTCTTTGACTGGTCTGAATCAAAATTTGTATAGTTATGTAGAGTTTTTAAGACCTTACGTAAGATATAAACTATTATGACAACTGGATTACCCTTGATTTTCCCTTGACATTTTCTGATAACTTGGGCAACACGAGTAGTTTAAGCTAGTTAATAGCATATTGATTGCTACGTTGCACAATTATCAGAGCTTATCAGGGTTTGATTACATTATCTTGTGCAAACCAGACGATTGGTTGGGATCAACCTGATAAGGACTATGGGATAAATTTCTAGTTACGGGGAAGTGGATATCGCGCGGAAGCTCATTACGGCAGCGTTTCGTGGCAATCGGTTTCCAGTCTTTGGAGAACGTCACTCGCTACATGCGAATGGAGTATCACGAGATGTTTTACTTGTGCTTCTTGTACCGACTCGATCGTATTTGCGACGTCTTACCTCGGTCGTTCGCGATTCCCAGACATTCCTCAAGGGAAGCCACCAGCCACCCCTGTCTTGCGCGAGAGTCCTCCTCGTAGTTCCTCCTCTGCTCAATGATCATGGCGCGAGGCTGATACAGTTATTGAACGTTCCACGTTATAAAACACCCCGGCTTATTTTTCCAGCTTCCCCTCTGAACCGCGGGAAGCTCTCGCGAATGATTGATGTCCCAGGATTCACCTTGGAGGGATATATATTAATCATTGTGAAATATATACGTGTGGAACACACCGAACGTCCTTTCACGGAAATCTTAAGAGGGCGCGTTTCCCAAAATAATTTCCTGCTTAATATTAATAGGTTCTAATTGAGGGAGTTTATGCTCGTCAAAGGGAAGAGCATCACGCGTACGTGGATTTCCACCGAGAGACATGTTTCGTACGGCATTAACAACGTCTTTATCAGATATACGACATCAGTCGAATGACCTGCAAACACCTCTCGACATGAGCATGAAATTTGAATTATTAGGATTATGTTGTGTGTGCCTCGTGGGAGGTCGCTAATCGAGTTCGCTCTGTATGCTATATTCAACATAGCGGAACTTGTCGATACTGATACTTAGTTCGATAAAGTTTCGTAAACATCTTGTTAAATGAGGATAGTTCTGTCGATGATAAAAGGCCGAACGGGAGGAGAAGCCAGCACGCTGGAACAAACTGGTTACCAGCGCGTGAACTCCAGACCCCGCGAGATAGAGCTCGGAGAATGAAGAACAAAAATTTTCGTGAGATAAAGCACTCACGTGATACGAGGGAGACAGAGAGGGGAAGAGAAAGGGAGAGAATGAAAAAAAACTCGTCATTTCTACGAGTATCGATAAGTGGTCTCACTCACCCACACGATTGCAAAATTATCAAACGTCTGTCTGTTGTTACGAATTTGATAGTTTTCAACGCGTGGTAAACGATGTCTGTGACATGCTATTCGACACCTCATTGAGATACGCCCATGTGAGAAAGGAAGATATTTGTGCACTAGCTCTACGGTAACAGGAAAAGATTGTCAGCACAGACAATATGATTATTTTATTTCGTAAACAAAATGGATACACTGTACTATGTGAGTGAGTCGTTTGTCTTTGTAACAATTGACGGTGATGTACAACGTGATAACGCGAATTTTTATTTTATCCACCGACACGCATCTTTTAAAAATTTTGTACATGACGTTGCTTGGATTACTATATATGTGACTAAGTTTGACATAATAAATAAATAAATAATATAAAATAAAACAAGTAATTAAATAAAAATAAAATAAAATAAAACAAATACATAACGTAAAATAAAAATAAATAAATAAAATAAATAACACAGTTGATATACAAAATATCTATAAAAAATAGGATCTAGTTATTAAATATATCTCAACCCCAAAAATAAAGCAAAAAACACGGAATTAAATTCAAGAAATTATTATATTTGAAATATTATATATTATTATATTTGATATTATATTAATATATTATATATATTATATTTAATATTATATTATTATATTTGAGATTATATTAATATTATTATATTTGAATATTTGAAAATAGAGACGTAAATTTTATTAAGAAGTTGATATTTATGATTTATTGTTTATTCGATTGTATACTATTTTCGTTGTAGAATTATAAGAAAAATGTATTATTAATGTAATGGCTGTGTGAAGTATAGGCTTTGTGTAAGTAGCTAGTCATTACTAGCCGCACTTTATACTTCTTATCTGCTACTCGGGATCGTCTTACCAGTTGCGACGAAGGACAGACCGATAATTTTGCACGTGGTCTTTCCACTCTTAGATCTAGATAGTTTAATGAGCTTCAGTTACCTAACGAGGCAAGTCGTTGAATGCTTTTATATAAAATATGGAATGCGTTATTTCGCGTGAAGACGTTATATGAAGAAGTAGATTAAAGTTGATCGAAACTAAGAAACTAAGAAACAAATCGCAATTGTCAGAATTGCACAAAATGAAACGATGTTCGATTTAATAATATCGTGTTAAAAAAAAAGAGGGAATAGACTATGTCCAATAATTTCAGAAATTAGAAAACAAAACTTTATTTAAATTTATAATAATTTAACGAGATTTGGAATATTGCAGTTATTACAGATTTTTATTTTCACATAGTAATGTTAATCTTAGAAGATCATAAGTCGCACGAGAAATTTATATTCCATTAACATATTTTTTATTACATGGAAAAAGGTGCGTTTTTACGATTCATTAGAAAGGTATTTCTGGAGTTGCTTGCTTTCGTGTCAGTAGCGTAAGAGGAAACTTTTATCTTGCAGGCATGCGAGGACTCGATGTTAGTTAATTGATAGCGCTTTAATTGGTATCAAGTGCCGAAGTACACAGCGCCGCACACGAAAAGGTCAAGTAATGCATCTACATTAGCACATCGCGTGCTTTATGTCTGAACCTTGGAGTGTCTAATCGTAAGAGACAGCACGGGCCTACTCGAAAACACTTGCGAACTATTATCATCAGCCTGCAATTTCGTGAAACGTAAATGCGCGGGCTCCTGATTCTCGGTCAGTTCGATTGTCAAGTTGTTGCTCAACTTATAAATACGAAAGTCAGTTCGACGTGTGGGATCGCCATTGAAGTTTCCTCCAAGAAAAATCACCCCTGAATCCCTGGAGGAAGCTGTTCTAAAGAAGAACTCCTTCGGACGAATTTCACATATGCGGGTAATGGTGCGAAAGGTTATCCGTGAAGACACCTCTAAAAGCTGATCGTTCTTTGTGCGGGAATATAAAATGATAGGAGTCTCAAATCCACACGTTATATTCTCGACACCCAATAACTTTTGTTTATGCAAAAAAAAGTTTTGGTTTGACGATATTCACGATGCCAGCCGCACTGGCAAATTTTGCATCGCTGCCAAAGGCACGAAGTGTAATCTAGAGCGGATTTGTTGTAGAAAAATATAAAGCGCACTAAAGCAATTTTTTGCTAAAATATACAGTCCCAAGTATTCACATTAATCTCAAAAAATTCATTCGCACTCATAATTAATATCTTGTACCAGTCACTAAGTGCATTCTACGTGTACGCAAAGAAGTCTTTAAATTCGTTGCTTTTCAAGATCAAGCTCCAAGTTTGCGATGTCGGGTGTCTGATTCGAGTCGACATGATTTCTAATAAATTAAATTTATTTTCTCACAATCATTAGAAAAGATTTCCTTATTATTTTTCCATATGAGTCCCGAAGCCGTGTGGGATGATGAAGAAGAATGTCACGCATCACGCAACTTTGACGACATTTATATAAATAGATGCGCATATTCCGCGATATCGATCCAATTATTTCAGGACGAGTAAGCGTGCCTGATATCCGCTGCTTGAGTGCTCCCGCGTTCGAGAAAGTTTCTCCGTATTCTACTGGCTGTTGATACTACGATTAATTGATTATTAAGCCTGCTATTGGTCGTATTTTACGACCACATTCGCGTGAATAATTCGGTAAGTATAATATGGTCGCTCGACTTCAGGCTTCATTGCCTAGAGAGCTGAGTCGCAAAACGAGTGGTAATAAATATCCGCGGCAGAATAATTATTCCTACGTCAGAACGTGAGCTTGGACTGTTCCTAGCCAGTATCAAAAAGAAGAAGAAGAATGATCATTATGAAGTATATGAAATTATTTTTCCGAGATAATAAAATATAAAAGATCCAGATTAATCGTAGATTAAAAGAAAATTAAAAGAAAAACACGGCGTTTCAAACTGTATTACCTTAAGAAGCATTATACTAATTTGTAAATATTCTTCCGCTCTTTGGTAGAATTGATAATAATACTTTATCGACTCAAAAAGTCATCGATAAAAATTCGTACAACCGAAAGTGCTTGCCTCATGCTAAAATGCGCTGAATCAAAATGGATAGGGAGTGGAGATGCCGAAGGAGCATGAAATGCTCGAAAGATGCACAATAGCGTTCCAACCTGATCTGATCTTGCAATTCTCGATAGATCGAGCACGACGGATCCTAAGCAGTAGCGATTCGGTCTAGACATTCCAATCGGTTGCCCGTTCACACTGAATACGAAACGTCTGAGAAGATGCGGTACGTTCCGCGCATACGAATATGCGCTCGATCTAAGCTTGAATCGCCGCGAATTGGAGGTAAAAGAATGAAAATTCTGCACGCCTCTTCTGCAGTCGAATTCTTCTATCTCTTTTACAGCCAATAACGATTTGAGAACTGTTGTTGTCTCTTTATGAAAGAATCTGAAGAGTAAGTTTAATCGAAGAGAAGAGGGACAAATTTTACTGGAGACTATGAAGAAATAATTGTAATATTAAATTGAAATTAAATTGAAATAGGTAGACTTGAACTATAAAAACGCTCGTGACAGACAACAATTTCTAATTCGTCTATAACAATAGAGAGAGAGAGAGAGAGAGAGAGAGAGAGAGAGAGAGAGAGAGAGAGAG